ATCATATAGCAACGAAATATGCAATTCTTTTTGCATACTTTCTAGTTCGTATTCTTTGAAAGAGAAGATTTTATATTCCATTGAGAAGATTTCTAAACCATAAATCTCATCTATGCTCTTTTTATTCTACTTTTGCTATAACTTTTTATCATGTTTGAATAGTTTTTTTATTGGGTTTAAGAGGTTACTAAGGAGATTTCATGGATTGACTAGTTTAGGTTGTTCGATTTAGAATATATATCTTGTAGAAAATTCTTCGTTCTTTACTTGGTTTTATTGCATATTGCTTTGTTGGCCACGTACGTAGTAATTGATGCTAGGTTTATTTACATACCAAAAGCATTAATTTTATCGCTTGAACTAGCTGAGATGAGTATAGAGTTATAACATGCAAGAATTAAGTTATAGATCTTCGTGAATATTAACTGAACATGATCATATCATGTGTTTACTTTCATAATTAGCTGCAAAATTGACTAATTAGGTTGTTAGACATAATTGATTGGCACTACGAGAGTATGTCCTTTAACATATACATCAGTGATTCAACTTTTAGAACTTATCTAATTGATTTGTTTTTTTTTATCAAACCGATTAGTATTATCATCTTAATCTCCAAACTAGGAGGATTGGTTCAAAGATACAATACCAAATTTTGCTAACGCATCGGCTAAAACATTTTCCGGACGAGGGATAAAAACAAAAGAGATAGAAGTGAAATCATCCTTAAGACAACGAATGTCGTGTAGGACGGATTTCGACTCACTGGTCACACTATCCGTATTGATGAATGTAACCAGGAGTCCAAAAATAGTTCATGACTTGGAAACCCGCTAACTTAGCTGCAATTAAGGCAGCTTTCAAAGCAAGTGCTTCTGCTATAAGCACCGAAGCCACATTCTTCCTGGATGTCGATGATTGGGCTATTATTCTCAGATTTGAGTCCTTGAAGCACCATCCAAGACCACCTTCACGTGTTTCTGCTAGCCAAGAAGCATCGGTAAAACACTGGATCGCATGTGGGGATAAAACCGGAGGTCGAGGGGCAGTTTGTGTTGGCCTCAGTCGCTCCCCTGTTTCCTGCGCATCTTGCTAGGCTCTAGCCTCCGTTATTGCTCTCAACACCACAACTTCCGCTGAGGTACGTCTATCTTCAAAGATTAATTGGTTCCGAGCCTTCCATAGGTTCCATA